AGGCCAGAATACCTGGAGCACAGAGGTTTCTAGGGAGAAAGCCTGGTAGTAGGGTTCTGAGAGGGGGGTACCTCCCCAGGTGTGATGCCAGGAGCCTGGGCCAGGCCAGAGGTGGTAAAGCAAAAGAGGTGGCCATGGGGCTGGGAATGTGGCTCAGTGGTAGAGTGCTTGTCTAGCATGCATGAAGCCCTGGGTTCGATTCCTCAGTACCACATACACATAAAAAGCTGGAAGTGGCGCTGTGGCTCAAGTGGTACAGTGCTAGCCTTGAGCAAAAGAAGTTTAAGGACTGTGCCCAGGCCCTGAGTTCAAGCTACTGGCAAAACAACAACAAAAACCCCAAAAAAGGTGGCCATGTGCAAGACAGGTAGAGGCAGCCTGGCCAGGGAAGGGAGGGAGTCCATGGGAAGGACTGAGCTTTATAGTTTGAACAGGTCAGGTTTCTAGAAAGAGGGAATGGCCCATGTGCTCAGCTGTCCAGGGGGCAGGGGGTGTGACTACACGGCACTGGATGGATGGATGGATGGATGGATGGATGGATGGATGGATGGATGGATGGATGGATGGATGGGGGGGAATGACACAGGGAATGGGGTATGGACAGAGTGTGAATTTTCCACTCAAGACCTTTGGAGGAGAGAGACAGTGCAGCAGCCAGGGCCTCACAGATGCTTTGATGTTATTTTAGATCAGGGTGGTTTAAGTCTTTTGGAACTTGTAAGGAAGGATCCAGAAGAGAAGGTGACTGGGTATAGAGGAAGGAGGAGCAGTATGAGACTGGGGTGTTTCTGTTGCAAGGAGGGGTCCTCTGACTATAAGCAGGAAAAGCTGACTTGAGGGCAGGGTGGAGGAGTGGAAGCTTTGGGGGCTGGAAATGAGAATTTAGGTGTCAGCTTCTCTTTTCTGAAAAGACTGGTAGGGAGATGCTTGTGGGTGTGGAATGAGGGGATGGAGAGGAGACCTGGGAAAGCCGCTGAGGCGGGAGCTCAGGAAACAGGATTGCTGGGTGCATGTGAGCACCTGGCTGAGGGGGAGTCTGCCAAGACTCAGAGCTGCCACACAGCAAGATGGTTGGTCATAGGGTTTACCCAAGCAGGGCAATGAGAAATCCCTGGGCTTAGAGTTACTGACAGACTTCAGGAAAGGAAGGAGAGAGTAGAAGGGCCAATGCACTGGTGAGAAGTATCTGGAAGCTCCATGTTAGAACATGTGGGCTGCTTAGAGCAGGTAATTTATAAAACACACACACACACACACACACACACACCCCGGTCGTGGGGCCTGAACTCTGGGCCTGGGAGCTGTCCCTCAGCTCTTCAGCTCAAGGCAAGCGCTCTACCACTTGAGGCACTGCGCCACTTCTAGTTTTCTGATGGTTAATTGGAGATTAGGGTCTCATGGACTTTCCTGTCCAGGCTGGCTTTGAACCATGATCCTCAGATCTCAGCCTCCTGAGTAACTAGGATTACAGGCATGAGCCACCAGTGTCTGGCTTGGTCTACCACTTTGAGCTACAGTTCCACTTACAGTTTTATGGTGGTTAATTGTAGATAAGAGTCTCATAGACTTTTTTGCCCAGGCTGGCTTTGAACTACAATCCTCAGATGTCATCTTTCTGAGTAGCTACCAGTCCTGGCTTCTTTTTCTTTTTTTTGTTTATTTTTTATTTATTTATGTATTTATTTTGGTCGATTGTGGGCCTGAACTCTGGGTCTGGGCACTGTCCCTCAGCTATTCAGCTCAAGCTAGTGCTCTACCACTTGAGCCACAGCTTCCGGCTTTTTCTGCTTATGTGGTGCTGATGAATCGAACCCAGTGCCTCATGCATGCAAGGCAAACACTCTACCACTGAGCCATCTTCCCAGCCCCCATTTTTCTTTTTTAATGCTGAGGTCGGGACCCAAGGCCTTTCAGCTCTCTCTCTCTCTCTCTCTCTCTCTCATCCCTCTCATCCTAGGGCTTGAACTCAGGGGGCCTGGGCACTGTCCTGAGCTGCTTTTGCTCAAGGCTAGCACTGTACCACTTGAGCCACAGCACCACTTCCAGCTTTTTCCATTTATGTGGTACTGAGGAATTGAACCCAGAGCTTCATGAATGCCAGGCAAGTACTCTACCACTAAGCCACATTCCCAGTCCTCAGATCTCTTATAAGGACACTGATCTCTCATGAGGGTGGACCCCTCTTGATCTCTTCACCTCCTAAGGGCATCTCTGTCTCTGTCTCTCTGTCTCTCTTTGTCTCTCTGTCTCTCTCTGTCATGTGTATGTGTATGCTTGCTGGTACTAAAGCTTGAACTCAAAGCCTGGTTGCTGTCCCTTAGCTTTTTTGCTCAAGGCTGGCCTTCTACCACTTGAGGCAGCTTTTTGCTCGTTAATTGGAGATGTGTATCACAGACTTTCCTGACCAGGCTGGCTTCGAACTTCAATCCTCATGTCTGAGCCTTCTGAATAGCTAGGATGACAGGTGTGATCTACGGGTGTCCAGTGGCTCCATCATGACACGGGTGCTGAGGTTTCAATTTCTTTTCTTTCTTTCTTTTTTTTGTCGGTGTGGGGCCTGAACTCTGGGCCTGGGTACTGTCCCTCAGCTCTTCAGCTCAAGGCGAGCGCTCTACCACTTGAGCCACAGTGCCACTTCCGGCTTTTTCTGCTTATGTGCTGAGGAATTGAACCCAGGATCTCATGCATGCAAGGCAAGCACTCTACCACTGAGCTGTGACGTTTCACTTCTGAAAGCTTAGGGTCACAGACATTCAGACCACAGACAGTACCCTCATGACCAAAAGGCTGGAGAACTCTGGGAGTTGACTTAGCTTTGTGACAGAAATCCCTGCCTTCCATGGCTATGAAGCAAGGGAGGGGATTCCTGTATCCCTTTAAGATGGCTCCATTGGACCTTCTCCTTGCAGGACCCCCTGGCCTGGAAATGACCCAAATGGAAGCTGTGCTCAGAGCCTGGTGGAAGCTCTGGAGCTGGGTTGGAGAGCTGACCCCAGGGTTCAGTGCCCCACCTGCGGCTTCATCACCAGGTAAGCTCAGCCTCTCCTCCCAGTGGAGACAGCTAAGTCAACCTAGTCCCCTTCCTAAGCTCAAGAAGATGCTGAAGGAGGCCCAAGGTGCCCTGCCAGAAGTAGGCCGTACAGGTGGAAGGTGGAGGATGGAGGGTGGAGGGTGGAGGGAGCGGAGCTGGCAGAGAAGCCTCAAGTCTCAGTGAATTCCTCAAACCCTCCCCTGAGATGGTGCCACCCGCCAACTTCAGGCAAAGTGATCTGTGTGCCCTTGGTGGCAGATATCCAGCTAAATGGTGGGGCACCTCTAGGCCCCTCCTTGAGAGCCTGGAGGTTCCCTTGAATCCCAGCAGGGTCCTAGGACCAGAGAGATTGTATCCCAGGCTATGGAGAAGACCAGGTCCCCCGAGAGGGCCCTGTGGTGCCCCCAAGTTCTATTCCAGAGTCGGCTTTGCTCTCTTCTAGGACCGGAGCGGTGCTGGTGCGGGTGACTGAGGCGAGGGCTGCGATGCGCAGGGACGCCCAGCGTGGACTCCCGCAGGATGGCCCAGGTCTGGGGGTCTGGTCCCCGCTTCAAAAAGGGGGCTTCCTCCCTTGCCCGCGCATCACCACCGGGCCTGTCTGCGAATTCCCGTCTGGGTCCACCAGAGGGCGCCCGGGCCACAGGCGGGGCCGCAGGCGGGGCCGCAGGCGGGGCCGCGCTGGGGTCTGCTGCGCGTGTGTCGGCTTCTAGGGCCGCACTAGGGCCGTGGAGTCGGGATGCCAGCACCGCAGATTCCAGGGCAGAACCCTTGGGGTGCAGGACCCCACGCTCGATCCGCTCCAGGCTATCACCCCAACCCTCTTCCCGCCTTCGGAATCAGGCCTGAAGCTGCGGGAGCCGGTGTCAGGCGCTCGTTCCCCCGGGCTCCCGCGGAGGAGCGGACCTGAGCATCTAGGACCCCAGTGGGGAGCCCGAACCCAACTCTGCAAGGGCACTACCTCGGCCTCGGCCCCGCCCAGCCGCAATCAGACCCCGCCCACAGAGCAAGACCACGCCCACACAACGCCCTGGTTGGCCCCGCCCCTCGGAGACCACGCCCACCAGCTCCCGCTCCTCCCGCTGTGGAGAGCGGGTGCGGGGGAGGAAGGGGGCCGCCGCCGCCACCGCTGAGCGCCGGCCATGCGCGTCGCCCCGGCCGCCCCCTGGCACCGGTTGCTCCAGCTGCTGTTCCTGCTGGGACCACCAGGGCTGAAGGCTTCAGGGGTGGCGGAGCCGCCTCTGCCCACCGTGGTCCTTGCCATCTTGGCCCGCAATGCCGAGCACTCGCTGCCCCACTACCTGGGCGCGCTGGAGCGGCTGGACTACCCCCGGGCCAGACTGGCCCTCTGGTGAGAGGCGGGTGTGGGCACCCCCTGGGCCCTGAGCCCCCCGGCGCGGGGAGGGGCCTCCCCCTGCAGACCCCACCCTCACAGAAGGCCCTGGGTGGCCCCAGGCCCAGACAGAACTCCTGGCGCCCCGGGGAGCCAGGACAGACCTCAGAGCAGTTGCACCCACCCGTACTTCCCACCTGGGCCTCCACTGTGTGCAAGTTAGGCCCAGTCCTGCTTGTGACGACCCTACGAGCCCCAGCCACACCCCCGTGAGACCTATGTTCTCTTGAACTTGGATTACAGCCGAGAGAGATCCCCAGGGTTCCCTGGAGATCAACGTGGCAGAGATCAGCCAGACTGGAGGTCCTGTGGGCCCAGGGCTCTGTGGGGTGCAGGGAGTCAGGCCGGCTCCCTGTGGGGACCTGCGGCCACGGGCAATGACCCACTCCCTCCCCGGACCTCCCTCTAGGGTCCCTGCAGGACATGAAACCAAAGGCCACAACTCCTTTGACTATAAAACCCAGAACAAGGATGAGTGCCAAGCTGAGACTGGGGACAAACTGCCCCTCATGGCACAACAAACTTGGGCTTGGGTGGAGCCGAGGTTCGGGGAGGCCGCCCAGCCCACAATCACCACAGTTTGGGAGTTAGTTCCCACCCCTGTGACTTGACACGTAGTTAGTCTTCACTTCTAGGCAATTGGCTTAAAGGGGCAGCATCACCTAAAACCTAGGCTCTTGGTTCAGCCCCCCACCTCCATCATGAGAGCCCCCTCCCCCGGAGAGGGTAGATTGCTGCATGATAACAGAGCTTGGGTTCATCCATGCTCAGAGCATGGTTTGGTGTTCATTACAACTTAGGATAAAGAAAAGCAGCAGATCTTTTGTCTGATCCTGATTCTGAAAAGCAAAGGGCCTGGATTACACTTAGTCCCACAGCAAGAAAGGAAGGTAAGTAACTAGGGAATGTGGCAGGTGTGATGAATATGAAATCCAAGTTTTCATCTTTCACAATGCCATCATCTTTAGTCTCCACCTGAACCTAGACAGGATGCTTAATAAAGTTACACAGGAGCCAGACCCTGGTGGCTCATGCCTGTAACCCTACCTACTCAGGAGGCTGAGATTTGAGGTCGAGGTTCAAGACCAGTCAGGGCAGGTAAGTCTGGGAGACTCTTATCTCCGGTTAACTACCAGAAAACCAGAAGTAGTGCTGTAGCTCAAGTGGTACAGTGCTATCCTTGAACTGAAGAGCTCAGGGACAGTGCTCAGGGCCAGAGTTTAAGCCCCACGACTGACAAAAAATAAATAATAATCAAATTACCAAGGAAGGAAATAAACAGGAAAGGTTAGGAATTGTCTGATTCAATACTAGTTGGAACCTAGCATCCCTCCACTACACCCCCCGCACCCTTATATACCACTGCTCCCAGGGGAGGTGGTTCGTGTTTGGGGATCACGATTACCATACTGTTCAGTCTTGCTGTGGCTGTATCCCCTCTTTCCTCCTGTGTCCCCAGGTGTGCCACCGACCACAACATTGACAACACGACGGGGATGCTGCAGGAGTGGCTGGCAGCTGTGGGCGATGACTATGCAGCTGTGGTCTGGAGGCCAGAGGGAGAGGCCAGGTGGTAACCTGAGGACAAGGGTGCTGGGGAAGATGGAGAACAGTGCGGGGGCCCCAGGCTCCGGGCAGGGAGGGCCATGTCCTTATGTCCCTGCCATGTAGAGAGGGAGGCACTAACGCCATGGGAACTGCTCATTTCTTTCCCACCTCAGATTCTACCCAGATGAAGAGGGTCCTAAGCATTGGACCAGAGAAAGGCACCAGTTTCTCATGGAGTTGAAGCAGGAGGCCTTGACCTTTGCCAGAGACTGGGGGGCTGACTACATCCTGGTAAGGAAGTCTGGCTTTTGAAAGGTGGTGGTATACATCTTCCCTTCACAAAGTCTTGGTGTGGCTGAACTACCATGGTTGGTGGCTGGATCTTTCAGAGCCTAGATCAGGTGCTGAACTTGAATATCTATGTTTGAGCCCAGTCTAGGTATTAAGCCTGGATCCCAGAGATAGATCCTAGGGGATACACTAAATCAAGATTCCTAGGCTAGTGCTTGGAATATAAACTGAGCCTAGCGCCGGGCGCTGGTGGCTCACGCCTGTAATCCTAGCTACTCAGGAGGCTGAGATCTGAGGATCGAGGTTCAAAGCCAGCCCGGGCAGGAGAGACCGTGAGACTCCTATCTCCAATAAACCACCAGAAAACCGGAAGTGGCGCTGTAGCTCAAGCGGTAGAGCGCTCGCCTTGAGCTGAAGAGCTGAGGGACAGCGACCAGGCCCAGAGTTCAAGCCCCACGGCTGACCAAAAAAAAAAAAAAAAATTATAAATTGAGCCTAGATCCCCAGACTAGGACTCAGAGTAGGTCTTTGGATCCATTTTCTAAGCCAGCTCTCTTAGATCAGCTACTCAGGCCTGATCTCTAATCTCAGCATCCCAGACTAGATCCTTAGAAGAAATAGATCTACTTGGGGTATCGTTTAGGCCTCCTGTAGTATTCCTGGAGGGGCTGTAGGGGGATTTTACTCAGTGAACTCCTGGGGGTGGAGCCTACAGCCCTGAGTGGGGCGAGGACCTGTGACGCCCCCTTCCTCAAAGTTTGCAGACACGGACAACATTCTGACTAACAAGCAGACACTGCGGTTTCTGATGGAGCAGGGGCTGCCCGTGGTCATCACCCCTCAGGTGAGGCCGGGCGGGGCCTCTGGAGGCTTGAGGGCCCAGGAGGAAGGGCCTGAAGGGGTCTTTGGGCTTTGGTGCAGGTGGCCCTGGGCCCAAAGCTTCCCTGTTCCCCAGGGCTACTACCGCCGCACAGCCGAGTACTTCCCCACCAAGAACCGCCAGCGCCGAGGCTGTTTCCGGGTTCCCATGGTCCACTCCACCTTCTTGGTATCCCTGCGAGATAAGGGAACAGCTCAGCTGGCCTTCTATCCACCTCACCCCAACTACACTTGGCCCTTCGATGACATCATTGTCTTCGCCTATTCCTGTGAGGCCGCTGGTGAGGACCAGCTCTCCTTGAGAATAATTCATCCTTAGAGGCCCCTGGGTCTTTGCACCTGCCGACCCCTCTGCTTAACAAGCCCTTCTCCACTCTGCATTTCATCTGGTCAACTCCTGCTTGTCAGTTCCCCTTTGTGTCATAGCTTTGTGTGTGTGTGTGTGTGTGTGTGTGAGGCTTGTACTCAGGTCCTAGGCACTGTCCCTGAGCCTCTTTGTGCTCTACCACTTGAGCCACAGCTCCACTTCTGGTTTTTGAGTGGCTAATTGGAGATAAGAGTCTCACAGGGATTTTTCTGCCTGGGCTGGCTTCAAACCGTGATCCTCAGATCTCAGCTTCTGGAACACCCAGCTTATAGCCGTGTGTGTGTGTGTGTGTGTGTGTGTGTGAGAGAGAGAGAGAGAGAGAGAGAGAGAGTCAGTTGTGGGGCTTGAACTCTGGGCCTGGGCGCTGTCCCTGAGCTCTTCAGCTCAAGGCTAGTGTTCTACCACTTGAGCCACAGCTGCACTTCTGGTTTTTAAGTGGTTAATTAGGGATCAGAGTCTCATGGGGACTTACCATGAGTCTCACAGACTTTCCTGTCTGGGCTGGCTGGCTTTGAACATAATCCTCACATCTCAGCCTCCTGATTAGCTAGGATTACATGCGTGTGCTACCAGCACCTGGCTACAGCCTTTCTTAAATCCACTGCTGGTAGGTTAGATGCTGTTCCCATTGTGCCACTTGTATGTGAGGGAGCACTCAACATGTAATGGGTGCTGGGGAGACCAGTGAGAGGAGAGCAGGGAATCCCTGCCCTCCTCGAGCCTCCAGTCCTGTCACAGGATCTCACAATCAATACCAACCACAGTGTGGCGGGAAGAGTTTCTTGACTGTAGGTATCTGGGAACTTAGACCAGATATGATCTGGTCAGGGAAGGCATGCTGGGGAAACTTTGGGGCTGAGATCTAAAGTATGGGCAGGCATTAAAAAAGGAAACAGCCAGACACTGGTGGCTCACACCTGTAATCCAAGCTACTTAGGAGGCTGAGATCTGAAGATCACAATTCAAAGCCAGACAGCCCAGACAGGAAAGTCTGTGAGATGCCAATTAACCACTGAAAAGCCAGGAGTAGACCTGTGGCTCAAATAGAGTGTTAGCCTTGACTAAAAAAAAGCTCAGGGGTGGCACTTAGGCCCTGAGTTCAAGCCCAGGACCATCAGAGAGATGGAGAGAGAGGAGGGAGGAAGAGAGAGAGAGAGAGAGAGAGAGAGAGAGAGAGAGAGAGAAAGACAGAGAGAGAGAACCTTGCTCTGCTACCCTGGCTTCAGTAGCAAGTTGGTCGGTGGTCAGTGGTTTGAAGGCATTCTGTGACCAGTGGTTTTGTCCTCAGCACACAGCTTTTGCACCAGGGCTCTCAGGAAGGAAGAAAAGATTTGTTGAGGGAACAAACTGTCTTGGGAGAACTGCAGGAGAAAGGCTCCTTAGATTCTGGGCAAGCCACTCTTACTTGCATGGGGAAGCTGAGGCCAGGAGGACTCCTGGGTTGGGTCACTGGCAGTTCTAGGCCTGGGCTCCTCTGCTGGGTTCTGAGAGCCATGTCTGACCTAGCCTCTCTCTGCAGGGGTCTCAGTGCATGTGTGCAATGAGCACCGATTCGGGTACATGAACGTGGCAGTGCAACCACACCAGGGGCTGGAGGACGAGAAGGTCAACTTTGTCCACCTGATCTTGGAAGCGCTAGGTGAGAGCCGGGAGCCTGTCTGAGGCCCCCTACTCCCCTTTGAGCTCTTCTCCTAGGCCAGACATAAGTGTACTTGGGGTGCCAGCCTTGCCCCTAACTCTTGCCTTGATGCTAAGCCATCCCCTTTCCCTGTGGGACCTGTCTTCCCAGCTGTGTGATGGGGACAGGTGGACTCCTTGTGTCCAGTGTTTAGGTGAGGAGAGTGGGAACAGGCAGGGGGCTGGGACCCAGGGTGGACAACAGGAGCCTGCGGACGTCTGATTGGGAGGTGCTTCCCTTTGCAGTGGATGGGCCCCCCATGCAGGCCTCAGCGCATGTGTCTCAGCCCCCGAAGAGGCCCAGTAAGCTGGGCTTTGATGAGGTAAGGCCCCAGCTTGGGCATGGGGTAGGACGGCTGGGTCTCTGCCTTCCCAGTCGTGCACTCACCTGTGTGTTTCCCACAGGTCTTTGTCATTGGCCTGGCCCGCAGGCCCCACCGGCGAGCTCGCATGCTGAGCTCCCTCTGGGAGATGGAGATCTCCGGGCGTGTGGTGGA